TTTTTTTGAGATGGAGTCTCACTGTGTCACCCAGGCTGGAGTGCAGGGGCCCGACGATCTCGGCTCACTGCAACCTCCACCTCCCAGGTTCAAGCCATTCTCCTACCTCAGCCTCCTGAGTAGCTGGGACTACAGGCACATGCCACCATGCCCGGCTAATTTCTTGTATTTTTTAGTAGAGATGGGGTTTCACCATGTTAGCCAGGATGGTCTTGATTTCCTGACCTCATGATCCACTCGCCTTGGCCTCCCAAAGTGCTGGAACTACAAGCGTGAGCCACCTCACCCAGCCTAGCCGGGGCTTTTTTTTTTTTTTCCTGCCAAGCAGCAAGGTCAGCCAAGCCCTGTCACCTTCCCTAGCTCTGGGGAGGAGGCGGCCTCTTGCTCTGGAGAGCTGTTACCAGCCTGCAAGGCCACTGTTGTAGCCACACTCTGAAACTGGAGGTGGCACCTCCCACAGCAGCTTCAGCGGAACCCAGGGAGGCCCCCAGAGGCATGAAGCATATGAACGCCTGGCCTGAGGGGAGAGCTGAGGCGCGAAGCAGGATCTTAGCAGCAGCTGCCTCTGATGTATGGACCTGACCGCTTTTTGCCCCCAGGCAGAAGGAATTTGATCACTGAGTAGTTTAAGGATGAGACTGCCCAGTTCAGCATGTCGGGGCAACTAATTTGGGGCCTCCCGCTTCCAGTCCCACTTCCTAATTGTCATCAAAGCCTGTGAACTGAGGCCCCTGGGGACTGCTGGAACCAGCAACACCAAAGCTTCCGGTTCTAGCTGCAGGTCTGTTGGCTGAGCTAGTGAATTTACAGGTGGGGGACATGCAGCGTTTAGCTGCAACTTGACTGTGGACCCCGAGAGCTGGAAAAGGAATCAGAGGCACGGAGCCTGGGGGGGCAGAACCTGACAGGCAGAGAGAGAGCACCCTGCTAGCTGGCCTGTGGTTTTAGTGATTTGATAATAACATGCATGTTATTTTTATAATGATGATTCTAGGGCGGTTCCCTGGACTCACTGGGACCGGAACTGTCTCACAGCTGCCAGCGCTCCCCACCACCATGGGAACCCCCATGCTGAAGATGAAAAGCCAAACTGACCAGCCTCTGCAACCCCAAGCATCACCATGTGAGGACAGCGTGGTGTGGTGCCGCGGGGACCCCACGCAGTGCCTCGAGGGGCAACCACGTGCAGGGGGCAGAGGTGGGGGGGAGCAAGCAGATGCCGCCAGCATGCCTGGGAGCCACAGGGAGCAAGCGGGCTGGGCAGTGATGGGAATGAACGTGAACTCCAGTCCCGCCCCATGAAGTCCTCCAGCCCCTCCTCTCAATTCAGGGCACCAGGTGGTAACTGCAGGGTGCAGAGGAGTCAGGGACTCTTCCCTCATCCCAAGAGCAGCACCTTGGGCCTCCATCCCACGGAACAGCCAAGGGTGGGTTGGTGGTCTAGAGACCTCCGAAGATCTAGTGGGGAAGGATGGGGTAGCAGGGGGGTCTACTCTCTAAGGGGAAGGGATTTCCCCCCCCCTTTGCCAAGGTCCCAGCTCTGGACGTGGGTGGCAGTGGCAGTTTCACCCTCAGCCTGAGGCCTGGTCTTTCCTGTCCTAAGAGGCCCTCCAGATCCATCTGTTTGAGCAACCTCTGTCCCCAGGGACCTTCAAGGGCTGGCAGGTGTGTCCAGCCCCTCTAGCCTCTGTCCAGGGACCGCAACCTTTTTCTGCAAAGGGCCAGATACTATTTAGATTTGGGAAGGCAGTGTGGTCTCTGCTGCAGTGACTCACCTCAGCCACTGTGGCGTGAAGGGGCACAGACCACAGAAAAATGGGTGAGTGTGGTGTTCCTGTTGTTCCTGCCACGCTGGGTTGACACGGCCAGGCGGGGGATCAGGTGTGGCCCGGCCATCGTCTGCCAACCCTTGCCCTGATCCTAAGAACCTGCCTGTCCCACAGCTTGGGAGCACGGACCGCTGTCAGGGTATCTGCTGGGCACTGTGCAGAAGCTGCCTCACCTTCTCAGGGTCAGACCTGACAAGGCCACAGGGTGATGACATCCACATTCCCGAAGCCTGAGTTCCCAGGGTGACAGTGCCCCCAGCCTCCGAGGGGCACTAGCACCCCAACCTGCTGGCCCATTGGGCCCCTCCAGGAACTCAGGGACTTAACGCCCCTCCAAGAACCTCTGCCCCTGGACGGGAGCTTTTCTGCCAGTGATTCCTGGTGCTTGAGAAGAATGAGGAGGGCACAGGTGGAAAATGTATGAATCGGTTATGAAGGCAATGGAGGAGGGGAGGTTGAGGCCGGTCAGTTGTGTTGGGGGCATGTTAGCACACAGTAGGAGGGGAGCACCACTAGTCTAAGAAATCAGTGTCCTTACCAAAAGGATTTGCAAGAATATGTGTGGCTCAGGACCTAAGGAACTTGCTACAGGGAAGTGAGGTCAGAGGTCAGCTCAATCCTGAAATATAAATGCAGCAAACCTGGTCATGCCAAGAGGCAGCATCCTTAGCACCTGAGGACCCAGGGCTCCTGCTAGGGTCTTCCTCCTGGCTGTGCTTACACTGCCGCCCCCACCCACCCAGGGAGAAGCACTTTCCTGCTCAGGGTCGAGAGAGCTGATGCCAGCACCAGGCGGGGAGACAGGGCCTGTCACCGGCAGAGCAGCTCTGAGGCTAGAGGGCCGCCTGCTGGCTGGCCTAGCATGCAGTCATGAAAGGGCGGTTGAGTTCTGATTCGGAAATCATAAACCTCCTCTTCCGCTCGGACCCTAGACTGCTTGCTTCTGCTGACGAGTAGGGGGTGATTCCCATGAGCTGCTCTGGGTTGCCAGGCTGGGAAAATGGCACAACCACCACCTAGACTTCTGCCTTAAATAAAGGAGTCCAGGCCACGCTGCAGAAGGGCAGCGATGTGGGTGAGGGCCAGGAGCCTGCTGGGCCTGGTGCACGTGACTGTGCCTCTGCTGAGGCGCCCCCATCTTCCCCACTGCGCCCAGCGCACCCCTTCCCACCCAGCGCCCAGCGGCTGTGCAGGGGGTGTCCAGATGGGAAGGGGGAGCCCAATTCCAACAACAGGAAGCCACAGGCGCACCGCCCGGAGCTACAAGGCGCTGCTGCAGGTGCCAGCCTGGGAGGCCACAGAATGATGAACACCAGGAATCTGCTGTGTCCCGGAGAAACTGAGAAGTCGGCTCTGCTGGGGACTCCATGTGTGAGTGACAGCTGGGTCTGTTCCAGGCTCTTTCCTGGCATCTCATTTCTTTAGATGAGGGCAGTGGGGTGTGGAGGGGTGTGGGATGCAGTAAATAGGCTGTGTCCCCCATCACCAGTGGCCTCCCCCTGGTCAGTTTTAGGGAGGGGTTCCAGGGGCATGCGAGCCTGGCTGACCAGGACAAGAAAGAACCCCTAAACTGGGAAGGTGGGGTGGTGGTTGGGCGGAGCTTACTGTAGGAGCCCCACCTCCTTTCTGGGCCCTTCTGCCAAGCGGCAGGAGCATGAAGGGCTCAGAGGGGCACCCCCAGCCCTGGGAGCCCGCCCGGCGCCCGCAAAGGGGCTGCAGCCTACCTCTGCTCCTCCTCCAGCTCTTCTTTGGTCATCATCTTCTTGTACTGGTTTCCCCTCAGCTTCCCCGGGCTATATTTGAAGGAGAAGCCTTCTCCTGCGGAGAGGGGGCCGGGTCAGTGCTAGGGAGCGCTGTAGAAGCTGGGTCCCCACAAACCCCACCCCCGCTTTCCATAGGTTTAAAAAGGACACCTCAGGCAGAGGCCACATCGGCTGTCAGAGACATTTTCGCACCCCAGCGCCTACACCCCTTCTCATTCCATAGCGTTCCCTTAAATCCTACAATGAGACAGCCAGAGAGAAAGCAGTCCCGCACCTAGCCCACGCCTGTCTCCAGATGCCCATCCCTCCCGGCATCTGCAGCACTCTGCCTGCCCTGGCCCTGCCCAGCGGGTCCTGGCTGCTGAGCTCAGAGGCGACAGCTCTGGCAAGCAGAGCACAGCGCATCTCGGGACACACACCGCGCCTGCCTGGGCTTGGGGAGGTAGGCCCTGCAGCCCAGGAGGCCCATGTCAGCCCCCCGCTCCCCGAGGCTATTGGAAATCTGACAACACGCATCCACGCAGCCCAGCGTGGCCAGGCCAGGGATCCGGGATTTGCCAGAGTGGGTTTGATGTGTGTATTGCTGAAGAGGCATAGCCCAATTTGCTAGTCCCTGAGGGCAGACATCCCACTGCTGCCTGCAAAAAAGGGACAGATCTCGAGGCCTGAAGAGGGCACATGGGGTGGGAGGGCACAGAGGAAGCCAGACCTGTGCCCTGGAGTGGACACAGGCTCCAGGCACATGAGCCATGGTGAGAAGAGCTGAGCTTCTGGAGGGGAGAAGCCCCATCGGGGAGCAACCTCTTGGTTCCTCAATCCAGCAGGTTATCAGGCAGTGCCTTAGGCCAGCCCAGGGCAGAGCTGCTGGCTTCTTATCAACCTCCGCTAACTAAAAGACCAGTGAGGGAGGCACGGAGAGATCCTCAGCTGCTGTTCTGGAAGCGCTGCCCTCTGTCCCCAACATCCTGTCCAATAGCCCAAAAAGCCAGGCCCCTCCCCTCTAGCTTCAGCCCTCATGCTACCAGATAGGCTGATGTGGACCGATGGGGAGGCGGGGGGCGCTCAGGGCGAAAGGAAGAAGGTTCTAGATTCGAATTCAAAACCCAAACATTTGGTTGGTTGTGGTGGTTCACTTGAGGCCAGGAGTTCGAGACCAGCCTGGGCAACATGGTGAAACCCTGTCTCTACAAAAATACAAAAATTAGCTGGGTGTGTGGCACACGCCTGTAATCCCAGCTACTCAGGAGGCTAAGGCAGGAGAATTGCTTGAACTTGGGAAACAGAGACTGCAGTGAGCTGAGATCACGCCACTGCACTCCAGCCTGGGCAACAGAGTGAGACTCCAGTGTCTAAAAAAAGAAAAGAAAATATTAAAAAATCCTGCCAGTCTTAGGTTTCAGTTTATGGGGCAAGTCTGATTAGTTTGTTTTCTGAGCCAGACAGAACAACGATTTGAAAAGGATTTCGGTCAATCACATGCAGTCACCAGGCCACACGGGTGCATCCAATTTTGCCAGGCCAGGAGGGTTCTATGTGAGAGCCCCGAGGGGTGGAGAGGCTTCTTTCTCTAGTCTCCTGAGAATCCACCGAGTCGCTCAGGGATGTCATTTCGGCGACACTAATCAATTGGCCACTGAGGCTGCCTGGCACCGCAGAGGGGCTGAGGGCTGCGCACGCATTCTTCCAACAGCTGGAGCCATAAACCTTTCCTTTCCCGGCCTTGCTAGAGATGGCAGGAGGCTAAGACGGCAGGAGGAGCTGGGGTAGGGGACATTCAGGGGCAGCGGCTCAGATGAGGAGGGAGGCTGGTGACAGCGCTGGGGGCTGTGCCCTCTGGCAGCCATGCCAGGGAGCGGGGTCTGTGAGCCTCCCTCCTTGTCCTTGCCAAGAGGCCTCCCTTCCCTGTTCCCAGGTCACTAACAGGATCCCCACATCCCTTCAGCTCTCTTGGACCATGTGGCAGGGCCAGATGCCAGGGCCATGCTGCAGTGAGTCCCCAAAAGCAGGGAGCAAGGGTCCTTCCTGGTAAGGGACTAATGTCCCCCCCATGGCCCACTGCCTACACGCAAGCTTCAGTCTCCTCTCCTGCTTGCTCCAGGTTACGTGGATGGAAACGAGGCCCTCCTCAGGGAAGCTGTGTACGCCAGCCCTGCCTGCCCGCAGGAGCTGCTTCCTGCATTCCTGAAACCCTCTCTTTCCACTGCTCCTGCCAGCAGCCGACTTAAGGTCACAGCAACAGTCTTGCTGTTTTAAAATTATGAAATATTTCAAACATATACAAAACTGCAGAGGCATTAAGTCCTCCCTGTCCTTGCCGAACAGAGGCGACAAACGACGAGATCTTGCAGGTCTGGCTCCACTTTCTTTTTTAGAGAAATAAGTGGATGGACTCTGCAGAAGCCACTCTGCGTTTTGCTCTGCCTCTGTCTGTCCCAGCCGGGTTGGACGTGGCAGTGTCTCCTGGTTCTCAGCCGCTCCCTTTCTCCTCTCAGTCTCATGGCTGGGGCTTGTGGCCAGTCAGCCAGAGCTGCTCGGAAAGCAGGCGTGTCCCCTCCAGGGCCTTCATTCTGAAGAAGGCACGGGTGAGGCCTTTTGAGTGGTTTTCGTTGGTAAAATAGGTCAGAGATGTTTGGAGAGGAACGTGGAATGTACAGATGGTCACAAGAGGAGAGTTGGGAGGCCGTGCAGGACAGAGCCGGGCAGGGTGCGTAGTGTGTTCCCAAGAGGGGTCCCCTGGGATGGGAAAGCCAAGCCCCAAAGTGCAAGGGGGGGGGTCAGGGAGGGGGGACATCCACGGCGCCAGACTCCACCTCCCAGTGCTCCTCAGACCACTGACTCACCCCACCCCTCCCCTTGGCACTCAAACCCCAGCTCCTGGGATCCCCAGCAGGGCACAGGCCACCCCGACATGGTCAGGCCCCCTCATGAGCGCAGAGGTCCCACTCACCGTCCTCCTCCTCAGGCCCTGCTGACGATGGGCCCTTCTCTCCATCCAAGTCCTGCTCCTCTTCCTGCAAGACAAGGACAGGGTCAGTGCCCTTGGCAGAGAGTGGGTGACGGGAAGTGGTGGGTGGGCAGAAGGTAGGGGAGACAGAAACAGAGGAGGGCCTTGAAGGTGCATGCCCTGTGGTAGCGCCTGCCCTGTGGTCGCCGTCAACCAGCAGGCGGGGTCTGTGTGCAAATGCTGGGCCAAGGTGACTCGGCTCACAAATGCGGAGCTCAGACGTGTTCTTGACTGTGTACCCCACGCCCTCGGCCTTGGCCTTTCCCAGGTCGGTGCCTGTCAAGGCATCCGCGTGCCGTTTGGAGAAGCGGGCCCAGGACTCCCACTGCCTCGCTGCCATGAGTAGGCAAAGGGTGCAAGAGCAAAGCTGGCTGGGGCACCTGGGACCGGGGCGGGCAACACGGCCACTGCTGCCTCAGGCTTTGCTTCCTCCTATGCTGTTTTCCATCCCAACTATCTCAGTGTCCGTGTTCCCAAAATTGGAGCTCCACCTCTTCAGCCAGTCCTTTCCCACACAGACACAATAAACAGATGACTGGAGGAATGGCCCGGGATGGCCTTGGTGGAAGGAAGGAGTGACTTCAGCTTGCGGGAATGCCAGAGGATGAGAGCGACGTGCCGTGCCCATGGGCTCTGTGGGATTGAAGGTCGTGGGGAGGGGACATGGGGTCCCAGGAACCTCAACTTGGAAGCCCAGAGGGTAGACGTGGAAATGAATGAATGAGCAGCCCCAGCTGATCCCATGGAGCCCAGCCAGTGTCAGCAGCTGGGTCAGGGCTGGGTGGTGGGGGAGGCACGGTCCCTAACAAAACATTGAGCTGTGCTGGGAGGCAGTTTCTACAAGCCCCATGGTGGGTCAGAAGTGGCAAACCCAGGGGGGCCTTGAGTTCCTCTGAGTGACTTTTGTTTTGTGGGTTTTTTTGAGACAGAGTTTTTGCTCTCGTTGCCCAGGCTGGAGTGCAGTGCCGCGATCATGGCTCACTGCAACCTCCACCTCCTGGGTTCAAGCAATTATCCTCCCTCAGCCTCCCGAGTAGCTAGGATTACAGATGCCCACCACCCGAGCCCAGCTAATTTTTTTGTATGTTTAGTAGAGAATGGGATTTCACCATGTTGGTCTTGAACTCCTGACCTCAGGTGATCCACCCACTCCGATCTCCCAAAGTGTTGGGGTTACCGGCATGAGACACCGCACCTGGTCTGAGTGACTTTCTTGACTACACAAAATGCCGCCTGGGAGGAGCTGGGCGGGCAACAGGGTCTCTTCCCCACTTAGCGGTTTGTACACAGAGACTCAGCGCTGTCTGTGCCGAAGTGATGCTTAGGTGTCCTGACAGGTCCCAGACTTTGCACAGCAAAGTCTCTTCGTGGCTGAGGTGGGGGTAGGCAGGCCTCTTCATGAGGCAGGAGAGGAGCCATTCCATTTGACATAGAAAACCCACTTCTAGGAATCTGCTCCAGGCTGGAGAAATGTCCATCAGGATTTTTTTTTTAGTTTAATTTAATTCATTTACTGTTTTGAGGCAGAGTTTTGCTCTTGTTGCCCAGGCTGGAGCGCAATGGCGCGACCTCGGCTCACTGCAACCTCCACCTCCCGGGTTCAAGCGATTCTCCTGCCTCTGACTGGCTGGGATTACAGTTTCCTGCAACCACGCCATCTAATTTTTGTATTTTTAGTAGAGATGGGGTTTCTCTGTGTTGGTCAGGCTGGCCTAGAACTCCTGACCTTGGTTGATGCACCCGCCTTGGCCTCCCAAAGTGCTGGGATTACAGGCGTGAGCTACCATGTCCTGCCAAGGATTTTTACATAGTGACTCTCGTAGTGTTCAGTTGAAAAGACAGAACTGGAATCAACTAAATGTTTATTGAGTTAAACATGTTATAGCTAAATATACTTGGTTAACATGTTCGCCAAAATACTGACTGATTAATAAATAGACTGCAGAGCGTGTTACTATGCCACATTGCATTCAAAAGGAGGCGTCGGCCAGGCTCAGTGGCTCACACCTATAATCCCAGCACTTTGGGAGGCCAAGGCAGGCGGATCACCTGAGGTCAAGAGTTCGAGACCAGCCTGGCCAACATGGCAAAACCCCGTCTCTACTAAAAATACAAAAAAAAATTAGCCAGGTTTTGTGGCAGATGCCTTTAATCCTAGCTACTCGGGAGGCTGAGGCAGGAGAGCTGCTTGAACCCAGGAGGTAAAGGTTGCAGTGAGCTGAGATTGTGCCTGCCACTGCACTCCAGCCTGGGTGACAGAGTGAGATTCCATCTTAAAAAAAAAACAACAACAAAAAAGGAGGCGTTGATAGGTGCAGATGTGAAAAATGCATCAAGATAAATGGAGGGAAAATTGCAAGCAGCAGCCCCACATGAGCAGCGCAATCATCTTGCTGTAAATGGCAAAGTGGAAGTGCACGCATGTGCTTAAAAATGCAGAGAAAAGGTTTGTTTTGTGGAAAGGCCCACGAGAAACTGTCAGCAGTGGCTACCTCTTGGGAGAGGAGATTGGGGGGCAGCTTTTCCTTTCCATCTTATGCATTTCAGTATAATTTGGACTTTCTATTAATATGCATGAATTAGTCTGAATATATTTTTAAATGCTAATGGGGTCCTTAGACAGTGAGATCCAAAGATCCTAATTTTTCTTTATTTTCTTCTATATGCCAAAAAAGATAAAGGAAAAAAAAAAAAAAAAAAAGAAAAAGCAAGAGGCCAGGCCTGGTGGCTCATGCCTGTAATCTCAGCACTTTGGGAGGCCGAGGTGGGAGGGTTACTTGAGTCCAGAAGTTGGAGACCAGCCTGGCAACAGTGCACGCCTCACCTCTACTAAAAATTTAAAAATTAGCCAGGTATGGTGGCACGTACCTGTGATCCCACCTACTCAGGAGGCTGAGGCAGGAAGATCACTTAGAAAAAAAAAGTGGAAAGAATGACTGTAACATCCTAAATCAATCAATCAACCTATCTTTCGTTTCTGCCCCCAGTTCTTGACACAGAGTTTTGGGGGTTTATTCTGAGAACGGTCTTGCCCTACCGCCCAGGCTGGAGTGCAGTGGTGTAGTCACAGCTCATTGCAGTGTTGACCTCCAGGGCTCAAGCCATCTTCCTGCCTCAACCTCTGGAGTAGCTGGGATCACAGGTGTGTGACACCATGCACAGCCCTGACACTGAGCTCCTAAATCCTTTGAAATTTCCTAAGTTATAGGGGTGGTAGGAGCATGTTTTGTTCTAACATTTGGTTTTGATCCCAGTCCCTGGCACAGAGCTCCTAAATCCGTTGGAATTTCCTGGGTGATAGGAGTGTCTTTTGTTCTAATGAGGTGACTCCTGGGTGGGCTGGTCAACAGAGAGGTCAAGCTGCAGTGAGAAACTTGGAACTTTCAGCCTCACCACCCCCCAGCTGCTTCCACAGACTAGAGAGGAGCTGGAGATCAAATTAAGAACTAACGACACCTATATGAGAAGGCCTCCATCAGCATCCCTACAGCACAGGGCTGGGAGAGCTTCCAGGCTGAATGCATTCCCGTGCGCAGAGGTGGTAAGTTCCAACTCCGTGGGAACAGAAACTTTTATCATTTCCCTTCTTTTTTTTGGGGATGAAGTCTTGCTCTGTTGCCCATGCTGGAGTGCAATGGCGAGATCTTGGCTCACTGCAACCTCCCCTCCCAGGTTCAAGCAATTATCCTGTCTCAGTCTCCTAAGTAGCTGGGATTACAGGTGTACGCCACCATGCCCAGCTAATTTTTGTATTTTTAGTAGAGATGGGGTTTCACCATGTTGGTCAGGCTGGTCTCGAACTCCTGACCTCGTGATCTGCCTGCCTCGGCCTCCCAAAGTGCTGGGATTACAGGTGTGAGCCACTGCACCCAGCCTATCATTTCCTTTAATAAACCAGTTAACAGAAGTGTTTCCCTGAGCTCTGTGAGATGCCATAGCAAATTACTGAACTGGATTGGAGGAGGGGTTCGTGGAACCCTCGATTTGCAGCCAAGTAGGACCAAAGTGTAGGTAACCAGGGGACCTGATACTTGTGATTGGCCTCTGAAGTGGGGGGCAGTCTGCGGACTGGGCCCATTAGTGTCAGAGTTGAATTGGAGGACACCCACTTGGTATCTGGAGAACTCATTGGTTGTAGGGGGGGCTGGCTGCGTATTTGGTATCAGAAGTGAAGGGTTCTGTGGAGTGCTGTGTGCATGGACAGAAAAACAGTTGTTTTTCTCATGGCTGGTGTCTCTCTTTCATGACAGACAAATGGCCATTGACTTATTCAGGGCAGGGCCTCAGAAATAAGCCAATACCAAGAATAGACAGGAGGCCAGTTCTTCTATTATGTGCAAGGGACACAAAGATTAAATGAAAAACAAGAGCAAAAATGAGCACAGTCCCTGCCTTAAGGAGCTCGTGGTCCAGTAGGAAAAACACACAGACAGATAATTGCAATCCAGGGTGAGGAGTCCATGAGCCGGGGCAGACCCATATCCCCAAAGGACCTGGTGTCAGGTGACCTGCCCGAGCCCTCCTGAGCAGAGAGGCTACTATACGTTTAGATTTTGGGCCAGGCACAGTGGCTCACACCTGTAATCACAGCACTTTGGGAGGCCAAGGCAGGAGGGTCACTAGAGCCTGAGGCTGAGGCTGTAGTAAGTCATGGTTGTGCCACTGCACTCCAGCCTGGGCAAAAGAATAAGACCCTGTCTCAAAAATAAAAGAAGGCCGGGCGACGTGGCTCACGCCTGTAATCCAAGCACTTTGGAGGCCAAGGCAGGTAGATCGCCTGAGGTTGAGAGTTGAAGACCAGCCTGATCAACATGGTGAAACCCCGTCTTTAAAAAAGAAAGAAAAAAAGAAAAGAAAAAGAAAAAAATCAAATTATACTTGAGTTTGGAAGTCTGATTTTTTTTTTTTTTTTTTTTGAGACTGAGTTTCACTCTTGTTGCCCAGGCTGGAATGCAATGGCATAATATTGGCTCACTGCAACCTCTGCCTCCCGGGTTCAAGAGATTC